ACACTTAACTAGCTGTGTGACTCTGGGCAAGTCACTTAACCTCAATTGCCTCGACACCTCCCCTCCCCCCAAAAAAAGTAATTCCTGGTGGGGGCAGGGAAGGAAATGCATCATGAAGAAGATGGTGTTTGAGTTAGGCTTTTTAAAGAATGAGTAGGAATTCAAAAGGTAAGAGGGATTTTAGACGTAAGGGAACAGGAGGCACTTAAGTGTTCAAAACAAAAAGGAAATGAAAGATGTCACTCTCTGCCAATCCCAGGCCTCTTTATCCTGATTCCCAAGAAGACAGTGGCTAAAAATTATTAGGAGAAGCCTTATTAACCTTATAATTCATCTCTGATCTGCCTTTGGCTCTCCATCTGTTTCTCTTAAGTGGGAGTTGACATTCTACTACTGGCATATCAACACAGGGCTCGTCCACTCTAGAAAATCTTTCCAACTACATGAATCTATTCCAAATCAGAACTAATTAGGGGACTATATGAGTTCCTGAGTTCTCTATCACTGCCGTTCATTAAATTGTCAGAACAGGGCAGAGAGAGAACTAAGGTGGAGTAGGAATCAGGAACCTCTATGAACCCCTCCATACCTTTACAGTAAACATTTAACTCATAATTACAGTGCTGTGGAAGTCTGACCTTGGTGAGCACTTGTGCTATTGAAATTAAATATGACTGAGTCATCTTTGGATTTCCAAACAGTAAAGATTTGTCCATTTGTTATGTAATTCCTCTGAGATGTTTTTAATTTAAGGGCTTTGATAGGAGTAGTAGAAAAAGGCATCTTGATCAAGGCTTACCAAAAACCCTTTTTGATTGATTCCTGACAAGTGGATTTTAATCCATAAGGTTTGAGGAGACTAGAGCCAACAGTCATCTCTGTCAATAATAATAGTAATGACTCTGTAGATGTTACTACATTTGATCTTAAGTTAAGGAGTAAGGAATGGAAACCTATAAACAAGGTCTGTCAATTGTAAGCCTAGCTCACTGAGCTTCCTTTGACACTCCAGGGTAAATTTTTGGTATTCAGTAGTAGGGAGAGGTTTGAGTAGTTCCAAGGGTGCATACTTGGACCTTCACAGAGGTTGTAGGACCCAATATGCTTATTAGTTGTCTCTAACAATTTTTTCCTAGCTCATCTGAATACTCCTGTATCATTCTGACATCATTGTTACTTACATTTGTATACTTCTGCATGATTAGGTGATGCTGATTTTGACTGCTGCTGCCAAATCTTGAATATGCAGAAACTAGTTAAATAATTTGGTGATTATCCATGTCTCCTTTGACTTCTTCCCCCCATGATGTCTATCTTTTTTCTCTTTTAGTGATTCTGTATCTGAAGATGGAATGGAATAAAGAAGGCATAGGAGAGGAAAGCCAAATCAGGCCCTTTGACTACTTAATAACTCAGCTAGAGCACTGATGTAATTAATACAGCAAACAAATTTATAAAGTGCTTACTATGTTCGAGACATATTGCTAGGCAGTAGAGAAGGCAGAAACTAAAAGTTATTAATGGTGAGATTCAGGTTATTAGTGGGTGGATTATCCAAACAATTTACCCAGGTCAGTCTTGCTTTCAATTTATTGACATTTGTTCTGCTTAATTGCTTAAGTTATAATAAATTATGTGATTATAATAAATAATCCAATATAATTAAAACAATTTTCTCTTACCCCCTGTAAATCAGTTAAAGAAAAAAACACTAGATTCTGTGGTGCTGACAGACTTTCCTCGTTATGCATCAGGAAAGTTAAACTTTTGAGGGACAAGTTGTGCTCATCATTTCTCCAGTATCCTAATTGCTTTCTTTTCTTTTGTCTTCTCATGTACTGGACCATGCCTGATTTGTAATTGTTTCATACATAGTGTCTGGCCTTATGCTTAGGTCACATAGTAGGTACTTAAGTGTTTTTTGAATGAATGAACCATTGCAACCTGTCTGTCAGAACCTGTTGCTCAGGGGAAGTAGCCAGGCCAGGAAAGCTGAAATTAAAGAAGGACTAGAGATGTAGAGGTGCAGGACCTTAGACATGTACATACGCTTGAAGGAACACCTGGTAATTCAGAGCTAAGAAAGACGTGAACTATGGAGACTTATGGGGCCAAAAGCCCCAGATCTACAACTTACGCCTTTAAGCCAAAGAAAATCCTTAAAGTAATTCATTATTAAGATTCACAGCTTCTATATGCATTCTCTCTTGGTTTTCCCAGTATCCTGTGAGGGATTCAAGGCAGGCCTTTCCCTATTTTTTCATGGAGAGCAAACTGAGGCTTACGTTAAGTAACTTGGCCAAGGTCAAATTGCTAGCAATTGGTAAAGTTGAGGATAGAACCTAAGTCTTAAGACTCTCAGATCTTGTTATAATTTTATAAATGCTTGACTAGGAAACAAAATTCTGAATTAATAAGAAAACCAGAAAAAAAGGATTCCAAAGTGAGTATTGAGACCAAGAAATCCAACTTAATATAGGTTTAAGAAAAATACAGAGACAATCTAGACTTTAGATGTGTAACGCACGAAGAAATCTGAACACACAGATACCATTAGCAATGGAGAAATAAGAGAAGAACATAGGATAAGTAGTCTTACAAAAGAAAGATTAAACAGGGAGCATGAGACAACATAAGAGAACATTTTTTTTCTTTAGAACAAGGCAGACCTTCCAGTGAAAGATAAGTAGTGGCCAGCTCCCTCAATCATCCTTCCCTACGTCCTCTTGTGTCTAGCATCATTGTGGTTAGTTACCCACAGTGGCAGGGGCCAGTCGCATCATCTATGCCTCATGTCCCTTCATGCTTCTCTAACAAGTTTATAGCTCATTGGTCACTAGAAGGGCAGCAGAAAATAGCAGTGGAAACAATACTGGATTTGGAGCCAGAGGACTCAGGTTTGACTCCCTGCTCTGTTATTACTTGTGTGTTTTTTCCCAAACTACTTAACCTGTCTGGGCTTCAGGTTCCTCATCTGTAAAATGCAAAGGTTAGCCACATATGGTGTCACAGGCGTGTCATCCCTGCTGCCTCAGGAGACTGAAGATCCGCTGAGGATCAGTTGAGCTTGGGAGTTGAGTTGCAGTGGACACAGTCATATTGGGTGTCCACCAAGTCTGCCAGCAGTATGGTGAGCCCCCAGGAAGGGAAAGGTAGTGCTGTCAGGCTGTGTAAGAGGGAGCAAAATGGAGCAGGTCAAACTGCAAATCAGTAGTACCTGTTGCCTTCTAGGCTGGGCAAGAACCAGTCTCTCTCTCTCTCTCTCTCTCTCTCTCTCTCTCTCTCTCTCTCTCTTTCTTTCTCTCTCTCTCTCTCTCTCTCTCTCACTTCCTCCCTCTCTCCCCTCAAGTCCCTCACCAGCTCCACCCCCCTCAAAAAAAAGTTCACCTTTAAGGTAATTTCCAGCTCTAAATCTATGATCCAGCAATTCAGCAAGTACTTACTGAGTACTTTTTATGATACTAGCAATGAAACAACTATATACTCTTGAGAACTGGTCCACTTTTTCAGCAAGAAAAAAAGTACCAGATTTTGAGTCAGATGACATAACTTCAGGTTCTGCCTACTAGCTATGCAACCTTAGTCAAGTCATTTAATTGCTCTGGAACTCAGTTGTTGGTTTTTTTTTTCCCACGAGATACTATTTTCCAAGGGAGCTATAAGAAAAATGTTTTTTATTAGTGTGAATAATTACATTGAGGCTTTGTTTTTTGCTTAACAGAACATAGTTCTTCATTTGTTATAAATAATCTAGACTGTTGGTTCTTAAAATGTGATCTGAGGACCCCTGTGATTCTTGGAGATCCTTTCAGGGGATCTGTGAGGTCAGAATTGTTATAATAATGCTAAGACATTTTAATTTCTAATACAGTAAACATTACTTACTTAAATCTTCTCTCTTTGAGGTCTTCAGTGATTTTTAAGAGTATAAAGGGGTTCTGAAACCAAAAGGTTTGAGAAATATTGGTCTAGACTAATGACTTTTTAAAACATGAGGAATTTGGCAGACCCCTGCTACCTCTGTTCACAATAGTTGCATAACTTGACTAGCTAGTGGCTGATTATTACTTTCCGGCTGATTATTACTTTCCTTCCCAACTTCCATTGGGAGGAGTCAAATGGCAATTTGTCAGAATGGAATTTTGGATACCATATATCTCACTCATTAAAGTGAATGGCTCTAGGTCTAATTTTTTTTTTTTTAATTGTGTCTTGGAGGAAGGAATACCTATAAAATAGTGATTTTTGGAAATCCATTGCTGAACAGTTTTCAGTGAAGTGTGGGGGTGGAAAATGCCATTCAGTTGTATATAACCCTTTGCATACAAAATGTCTACTGCAGTCTGTATTTAGCAGTGTGAAAAACAGCCACATAGAATCAGTTTTTCTTGTTAGCATTCTAAGACTTTCCAACCTAGTGGAAAGATGTGATGTGATTCATCCGATTTATTTTGTATATTAAAGTAGGATCAGCCACTTTCCTGGAAATGTAGCATAAGGGTAGAGATAAACTTCATGTCAGTTTAGCAGGTTCTATTTAGAGAACGTGTATAGAAGTTGAGGCTGAATATAATACTTGGCCTGCTTTTCTGTTCAGAATTTGTTCATAGTGAGGACATGACACTTATGTGTCATCAGCCCGCAGCAGCACACATTGCTCCATGGCTTTCAAAGTCATACGCTAAATGTGCATGACCTAGCACAATAGTTGATGCTCTAATGTGACTCCTACCCCACCCCACCCCAAATGTATTATGATAGACTTTCTGTTCCTGAGAGAGAATATGGAAAAATTGATGCTTTGAAATATCAACAGTGTGTGCTGCTGTTAAAAAAAAAAATAATTGGTTTATGCTTGTCTTGCCTCATGCTGCATTATCTCGTTGCTTAGTTTTGTCAACAATTAAAACATTAATCATAAGCATTCCTAGCATATTCAGCATTATACACTGCACAGTTCTAGAAGTTAAATAAAATGATTGCTTTTTTTTCCTTTCTAGGTTCTGCACAGCTGACATTTAATTCAACCAGATTTGTAGAAGAAACTATTTGCAATGAAACTGTTATACTTCCCTGCATTGTTAATAATCTAGAGATAAAGAACATTAAAGTCATGTATGTAAAATGGAAACACAGAGGAAAAGAAATATTTACATTTGATGGAGATCAAAATAAGCCCAATGCCAGTGATAATTTTAAGAGTGCAACAATTGCACTTTCACTGTTAGTAGAAGGAAATGCCTCTTTGCTAATGAAAAAGAGTGATGCTGTCCCTGGGAATTACACTTGCGAAGTCACAGAATCGAGCAGAGAAGGAGAAACAACAGTGGAGCTAAGATATCATGTGGGTAAGTTGTGTAAAAGCTTCTTCTTTATTCATGTTGCAGCAAATCCAGCCTCATAGAATAAGGACAAGTATTAAATGAATCTGAAAGAAAACTCCTTGAAATCACAGCAGGCTATTAATAATATATGTTGATGTAATGTTTTACAGCATTAAGGGTTGGGAGTTTTGCTTTATTTCCTGTTAGACATTTCACACTGAAGTACACTTAGTGTCTGACTATGGTTTTAGTTTTTGTTCTTTTTAAATGAAATTTAAATTGTGAGGGCTATGTTCTTTGGACAAATGACCCTCAGACTTTTTGGTCAGAATTACTTCATCAAGGTAGAAAAGTCCATCTGCTTTACCTAATTCTGTTTGTCACCACCAAAAAAAAAACCAAAAACCCAAAAAATTATAGTTCTCCATGGACCCACATTCTACTTCCAGTTACCTGACCTTTTTCAAATTTTGCATTTTGATGGAGGAAAGGTAGTGCCAAGGCTATGGACCGTCAGTGGAGGGTAGGATTTGAACGTAGGAACCAAATGTTGGGAAGGATAACCTTGTCAACACTCCATACGCTTCCTTTCTTTCTGCTTTCTCTCCACACATGCTGCCTGCATGCTAGCTCTTATAAATGTTAGCCAAGATAAGTGTCCTACTTCCTATGATCCAGAGCTGAGACTGACTATAGCCACACTTCATCTGCTTTTGTCCCCTCTCCTACACTGCTAATGGTCACTATAGGGGTCTGCTGTGATTAGTGATTTTCTAGCAGTTAAATCATTTACTTAACAAGCATTTATTAAGCACCTACTACATACTGGACACTATGCTAAGTGGAAGGGATAAAAAAAAAAAGCAGAAGGCCCTACCCTCATGCCTTCTAATTCCTTTCTTTACTGTCTGGCTAACTTAACCAGGTATGAGAATATCCTGACATTGCATTTTGTTTGGGAGGTGGGTTTTTGTTTTTTTTTTTAAGATTTTTTTTTTAAATTCCAAACTTAAATGCCAAATAAAATTAACATTTCTGTATATGTAGTAGAACAAAAAATAGGAATTGTACATGAAATTACACATCTATTATGTGCAGCTTGTTTTTCTTTTAAAATATGTAATAAATCTAACAACTCACTTTCAAAGGTGTACTGCTTATCTCTGATTCTTTCTGTTCTCTTCTATCCATTTAAAAACATTCAAATGAGTTTTCCTTTCTTTTTCTATCTTTTAAAAACTTTTTCTTGACTACTTTATCTATAATCTACTGTCCCTCTTCAACTCTCCCGACTGAGAAAATAAATATATAAAAGACAGAAGGAAAACCCTTTTAACAATTATGCTTAGTTAAGCAAAGCAGATTCACACATTAGCCATGTCAAGGAATGTATCTGACTCTACACCGTAGTCCCATTGATTCTCTGTCAGGAGGTGGGGAGCATGCTTCATCATCAGTACTCTGCAATCATACTTGATCATTGCATGTCATCATTGTATTTTGAGCAAGCTTTTAGATCAAAAAGTCCTTGGAATGAATTTTGAGAACCATTATTTTTAGACGTAGGAATTAGATTATTCTGTAACAGTAACTGTTTTTACCTTATCATAGTGAATTTTATCATCTGACGTGGAATATTCTAGTTAATCAGATAAGCAATGTTTGTGTGGTGTGGGGGTGGAGGAAGGATCTGATAAGAGGCAGGCAGTAAGGAGTACCTAGAGAGCTTCTTTTTTCAAAAAATCTTTTTACCTTTTAAAATGTGACCCTGGGCGAGTCACTTAACCCTGTTTACCTCAAGTTTCCTCATCTCTAAAATAGCTGGAGAAGGAAATGGCAAGCCATTCCAGTATCTTTGCAAGATACTTCATGACCCCAGACAGGGTCATGAAGAGTTGGACATGATTAAAATGACTGAACAACAATAATACACCCCAAGAGCTAAAATCCACAAGCTGTCTACATTTTAATGTGAATTACTTTAATAACCAAATCTGATATTGAATTATGTGCCTAGAGATTAGGGAGTTTGATGTGGAAGGGACAAAGATTGCTGAGAAGAGGAAAGCGGTGTTTTGAAGCATGAGTCACTTCAGGGAATATAGACTTGGCTAGGGCGGTGAAGTTGTAGGGGTGGCTGTGAGAAGCATGAGGTCACTGCTTGCTTGTTTGTGGAGGTGGAATTATAGACAGGAAGTAGAAGAGGACCAAAGGCCGAATACAGTTTTGTCTAGGAGTCAAGGCAAAGTCAGAGTAGTTCACATTAATAAACATTTCCAAAGAGATTTCCTCACAGCTCTTTGAGGTAGGTAATGTACTGAATTTTGGGACAGAAAAGAGGTTGTTATTATACACACCCCCACACCCACACCCACCCACCCCCTCACCCCTTCCAATATGTATATAATTTTATATTATCTGTGTGATTTATACTATAACTAAAATATGCAAATATATGTGTGTGCACATACTTCAGATTATTTTTCAAGAATTAGAATTCATTAAACTGTTTTTTTAACAATTTAATATTTCTTTGATGATTTATGGATGACCTGTGAAATGCTATTTTAACAGCTCTCATTGTAATTTGAAAGGAAGTTTAAAAGATCTAGATAATAAAAATGGATAACTTCTAGACACTTCTTTCTAACTCATTAAATGAATATATAGTAACATTTATATGTTGCCTTAAGATTTATAAAAAATTTTCAATAACTTGGTTAGGTAGGTATTAGGAGGACTGTTAGGCACATAATATGAAAGAAGAAACTGAGGCTCAAAATGATGAAACACTTTTCTATAGTGATATAGCTAGTAAGTTATTCACAACACTGAATACAGATCTTCTGATTGCAAGATTAGTGTTTTTTAGGCCCTTCCCGCCAGGGATGCTAAAACATCATGATGTAGTAGAGGGAATATAGGAATTGGGTTCAAATCATTTCACTTTGGTTCTTTTTTCCTTATTTACAAAATAAAGAAGTTGCCCTAAATTATTTCTGAAATCCATTGGATTTGTATTCTCCCTCACCTTAAGATCTTAAGATAACTTCATGAAAAAATACAACTTTTTGCTCTTAAATATGTAGTAGGATTGTATCTCACTTTGAAGTGTGGAAAACTTATTTGATGGGGAAATAACCCCAATTGTGGACTTTTGGGATACTATAAATAGATTACTTTTCATCTTGCATAACTGTAACTAAAGATACAAATGAGAGTAGAAGTTATGGTTAAGAGAATTACAGTTGATAAACTTGTGAATAATAGAGTTTGTAGTTCTATTGTATTTTGCAGAGAAATACCATATATGGAAAAGTTCCATGAAATGTAGAAAACATAATACATTGTATTTAGTTATTTTTATTATTTATGTTAATATAGTGACTAAATGGAGCATATACTGTGCATTGTTTTTCTCTAAAATACAAACGTTTGGAAAGCTAAAAAAAAAAATCTAAAGTAGCTTTTAAAAAGTTGTTTTTATATTACTTTCTTTCATGAAAGATATACCTTCTGTATGTACATATATGTGTATATATATATAACTATGTAATAATTGTTATTTACGATGACTCTGAAGTAGTATGAGGTGCTTTCTGAATCATCAAACTAAATTATGTTGAATATCATTTTTAATGATGTATATTTTTATTCTCTTTTTGAAATTGATAATTTGAGCATTTGTCATAAGAATATTTAATCAGATAAATCCATACCTCATCTATTCTGGATAAAATTAATGTGAATGAATGAATGAAACATTTATTAAGCACTTATATGCAAAGCACTGTGTAAATGCTGGAGATACAGAGAGAAAATTAAGAAAATCCCTGTTTTCAAAGAGATCACATTGTAATAGGTGAAAGAACACATATGGAAGTTTTTAGCTACAAGGGAGATAGAAATGTCCCGTGGTCCAGGGGCAAAATAGGTAGTAATGCCTCTTCTTTAATGTTATTTCCACTGATAAAATCCTATCAGTTCTTACACTGAACCATTTGACAGAGTCAGAGACTTGGGTGAAAAGAATTTTTTTTCCCTAGGGCTTCAGTCGATGTGGTGGCAGCACCTGCGGTTGTCAGGCTACATTCTTCAGAAGTTCTATCCCAGGATAATGGCTGAGTTTCTGCACTGGGAGCATTGCTGTTCTCAAGGCTCTTGAATCCATGGTCCTGCGCTATCTCCATCAGGATCTGAAGGGAGATGGTAGTCAAAGTGGTGGTAGTAATTTGAATTGCCTAGTACATTTTGCCTCCTAACTCATGGTGCCTTATGGCTTCAGCTAGACCAGCTTGCCTGCCCTATGTGCCACAGTTGGTGGGGATGGCTGGCCCCTTCTCTACAGGTATTATCCCAGATAATTCATATGAGGGCTAGGCTAGAAGCAGGACTTGTGATCTGAGTTGGGTTCCTACTCCCAGAGTTCCTGCTCTTATCTTCCTATTGGTGGCAGTTGGTTAGCCATTATTGTTGGTGGTGAGGAGGGAGGTGTGCCCTTTTGCCATGATGATTTCTCTCATTAATGATGGCTTCTAAGGGGCTGGAGGGAGATGTTGCTATTCCCAAGGCTCTTATTCAGGATCCTGGGCTATTTCCATCAGAGTCTGAGGGATGATAGTGGTTAAGGATGTAGTAGATAGTTATTATGACAAGTTATACTGATGCCTAGGCACAGAAATAATTTATAAAACCTCTCTTCTGCAGCCTGTACCCTTCAAAGCCAACCCTTTGCCCTTCTTACTTAAAATAACTTTTTCTTCTTAACACCTAGTCCCCATTTATCAGAAATAGAGAGATAGTGGTAGTCATATTTACACATGTCTTGAATTGGAGTGAGGTCTTGGTATTGGGATACACAGGCCTTCCTCTGTGGGATCAGGAATCATTTTGATATGTAAGTGCCTACTAAATGTAAAATACCATGCCAGACACAAAGGACACACAAAGACAAGAAGATATATTCTTGTCAAGAGAGTCCGTTCAAGAAGTCTATGATAAACTTTGAGATAACATCCTTCAAT